AGGCCCATGAGCCATGACCGCTAAGCCTGCATGTCCAGAGTCTGTGCTCCACAATGGGAGAGGCCACAACAGTTAGAGGCCCACGTACCGCAAAAAAAAAAATAGAAGAAGAAACCACAACAAGATGGTAGGAGGGGCACACTCAAGATATAATCATATCCCCTACCACCACCCAACACTTGGCGTTACGGGGCACAGAGCATCCATGGCTGGAGGGAGCTCCTGAAGGGACTGAAGCAGCAACCATGGCTAGAACTCTGTTTAACTTTCCCCTCTCATTGTGTCTGCTGTCATAATCATTTCTACAGACCCCAACTGAGATGTCATAAACAAAAACAATCAGGACTTTAGAAAAGTATCAATGCCTGCAGCAGCTGTGCAGCTGACAGGGTCTTCATGCTCCAGCTGGGTGTCAGGCCTGAGCCTCTGAGGTGGAAGAGGCTAGTTCAGGACATTGGACCATCACAGACCTCCAGGCCCCACGTAATATCAATTGGCGAGAGCTCTCCCAGAGATCTCCAACTCAACACTAAGAACCAGCTCCACTCAATGACCAGCAAGCTCCAGTGCTGGACACCCCATGCCAAACAACTAGCAAGACAGGAACACAACCCCACCCATTAGCAGAGAGGCTGCCTAAAATCATACTAAGTTCACAGAAACCCCAAAACACACCACCAGACGCGGTCCTGCCCATCAGAAAGACAAGATCCAGCCTCACCCAACAGAACATAGGCACCAGTCCCCTCCACCAGGAAGCCTACCCAACCCGCTGAACCAACCTCACCCACTGGGGGCAGACACCAAAAATAATGGGAACTACGAACCTGAAGCCTGCGAAAAGAGGACCCAAAAAACAGTAAGTTAAGCAAAATGAGAAGACAGAGAAATATGCAGCAGATGAAGGAGCAAAGTAAAAACCCACCAGACCAAACAAATGAAGAGGAAATAGGCAGTCTACCTGAAAAGGAATTCAGAGCAATGATAGTAAAGATGATCCAAAATCTTGGAAATAGAATGAAGAAAATACAAGAAATGTTTAAGAAGGACCTAGAAGAACTAAAGAGCAAACAAACAACGATGAACAACACAGTAAATGAAGTTTAAAATTCTCTAGCAGGAATCAATAGCAGAATAACTGAGGCAGAAGAACAGTTAAGTGATCTGGAAGATAAAATAGTGGAAATAACTACCGCAGAGCAGAATAAAGAAAAAAGAATGAAAAGAATTGAGGACAGTCTCAGAGACTCCTGGGACAACATTAAACACACCAACATTTGAATTACAGGGGACCCAGAAGAAGAAGGGAAAAAGAAAGGGACTGAGAACATATTTGAAGAGATTATAGTTGAAAACTTCCCTAATATGGGAAAGGAAATAGTCAGTCAAGTCCAGGAAGCACAGAGATTCCCATACAGGATGAATCCAAGGAGAAACACACCAACACACATATTCATCAAACTTTCAAAAATTAAATACAAAGAAAAAATATTAAAAGCAGCAAGGAAAAAGCAACAAGTAACATACAAGGGAATCCCCATAAGGTTAACAGCTGATTTTCAGCAGAAACTCTGCAAGCCAGAAGGGAGGGGCAGGACATATTTAAAGTGATGAAAGGGAAAAACCTACAACGAAGATTACTCCACCCAGCAAGGATCTCATTCAGATTCGACAGAGAAATTAAAACCTTTATAGACAAACAAAAGCTAAGAGAATGCAGCACCTCCAAACCAGCTTTGCAGCAAATGCTAAAAGAACTTTTCTAGGCAGGAAACACAAAAGAAGGAAAAGACCTACAAAAAGAAACCCAAAACAATTAACAAAATGGTAATAGGAAGATACATATCGATAATTACCTTAAATGTAAATGAATTAAATGCTCCAACCAAAAGACATAGATTGGCTGAATGGATACAAAAATAAGGCCTGTATATATGCTGTCTACACGAGACCCACTTCAGACCTAGGGACACATACAGACTGAAAGGAGGGGATGGAAAAAGATGTTCCATGCAAATGGAAATCAAAAGAAAGCTGGAGTAGCAATTCTCATATCAGACAAAATAGACTTTAAAATAAAGACTATTACAAGAGTCAAAGAAGGACACTACATAATGATCAAGTGATCAATCCAAAAAGAAGATATAACAATTGTAAATATTTATGTACCCAACAGAGGAGCACCCCAATACATAAGGCAAATGCTAACAGCCATAAAAGGGGAAACTGACAGTACACAGTAATAGTAGGGGACTTTAACACCCCATTTTCACCAATGGACAGATCATCCAAACAGAAAATAAATAAGGAAACACAAGCTTTAAATGATACATTATATCAGATGGACTTAATAGATATTTATAGTACATTCCATCCAAAAACAACAGAATACACTTTCTTCTCAAGTCCTCATGAAACATTCTCCAGGATAGATCATATCTTGGGTCACAAATCAAGCCTTGATAAATTTAAGAAAACTGAAATCGCATCAAGTATCTTTTCCAACCACAGCACTGTGAGACTAGATATAATTTATAAGGAAAAAACTGTAAAAAATAAAAACACATGGAGGCTAAACTATACACTACTAAATAACCAAGAGATCAATGAAGAAATCAAGGAGGAAATCGAAAAATACCTAGAAACAAATGACAATGAAAACACAATGACCCAAAACCTATGTAGTGAAGCAAAAACAGTTCTAAGAGGGAAGTTTATAGCAATACAATCCTACCTGAAGAAACAAGAAACATCTCAAATAAACAACCTAAACTTACACCTAAAGCAATTAGAGAAAGGACCAAAAAAAAACCAAAGTTAGCAGAAGGAAAGAAATCATAAAGATCAGAGCAGAAATAAATGAAATAGAAACAAACAAAACAATAGCAAAGATCAATAAAACTAAAAGCTGGTTCTTTGAGAAGATAAACAAAATTGATAAACCATTAGCCAGATTCATCAAGAAAAAAAGGGAAAAGACTCATATCAACAGAATTAGAAATGAAAAAGGAGAAGTAACAACTGACACTTCA